TAAGTGACAGGTAGCTCCAACTATTGAAAAGGAATTATTGTGATGGAAAACCTGTAAAAATAAGTTGATTCAGAGGCTCTTTAAATAATGATAATACATAATAACTAGCACCATTTATTAAGCACTTATTATGTAATTGAAACTATGCTGGGATAGGGCACAGTGGCTCACACCTGTAATCCCAGCACTTTGGGAGGCCAAGGTGGGCAGATCACGAGGTCAGGAGATCAACTTCATCCTGGCCAACATGGTGAAATCCCATCTCTACTAAAAGACAAAAATTAGCCGGTTGTGGTGGTGCACACTTGTAGTCCCAGCTACTTAGGAGGCTGAGGCAGGGGAATCACTTGAACCCAGGCAGCAGAGGTTGCAGTGAGCTGAGATCGCACCACTGCACTCCAGCTGGCGACAGAGCAAGACTCCCTCTCAAAGAAAAAAAAAAAAAGAAAGAAAGAAACTATACTGGATGATTTACATACCTTATCTTTGTCAGTCTTTACAACCTTGAGAGGTGCTTATTATTCCCAATTTATGAATGAAGGAATTGAAGCTAGAGAAGTTAAGTCAACTGCCCCAAATCACACAATTAACCAATCGGGGTAAGATTAGAGTCAAGGTAAGTCTGATTCTACAGCCCATGTTTTCGTTCACAATGCTACCTGCTGAAAGACAATATTTTACAATAGAAAAGGCACCTCATATAGAAAATATGGATGAAATATATGAATGAAAAACAGATTCTTCTTTTGATAAAAAAAAAGAAAAGAAAAGAAAAAAAATGGGGGTGGAGTGAAATAGTAGGATAAATTCAGCCCCTTACCTGCCCTTGTGGTGTGATTCAATAGTAAGTACACCAGAGTGGGAGAGCAGAAACCTGAGTTCTAAGGAGGCTCTGAGGAAAACTAAAAAGCCTTAGCTCTAGCAACTAGCTGCCTAGTTCCACAGTGCCCTCTTGTGATCAGTTGATGTCATGCATGATTTTCTTAAATTCAAGAATGAAACGCCTGCGAAGCGAAGATTCAGTCAGGGTCACTCCTGGATAAAGTAGATTAGGTCTGTTTTCTGACCGCTCTCTATTTCAGCTTCATACTCACTGACCTGAACTCCTTGTGACTGAAATAAATAGAGCGTGGATTTGGGTGTCAGGCTGATCTGAGATCACTTCTTAGAGAGAGGTCAGCCAGGAGGCCTGCTGTCTTCCAAAAGAGGGACTCAGGGAGCACCAGGACCCTGCTCCCAAGCTTCTGCCTCTGATCTTTCCCGTTAACAGCTAGAAGCCCAATTGCATCACTGCACTGAGGGCCTATTTACCACACCAACCAAACTCAACATACTCAGACGATGGTGGCCTGGCCCACATCCTAGTCTACAGTCCAACAGTGTAACAGGATTTGTTTCCCTTGAAATCAGGACAGTGCATGGTATTAACTGCCTGAGGTTGTTATTTTTCTAGGAGAGAATAGCTATTCAAGACAGTTTCACAGTATGACAGAAACCTCCATGACCTGTCCCATATAAGCATTGAGTAGTGATAGAGGGCTGAGGGATCCCATAGGAATTTCCGGAGGAAGTGACACTTGAGCCTAGTCTTGAGTACAAGTAAACCAAGTGAAGAGAAGTTTGGAGATAAGGCTCTTCCCACAAAAGTCCGACCTGAGTGAAGCCAAAGGCCAAAGAGGGGAAACAGCCAGTGTTAGAAATTCTGTGCTGTTAAGGCGAGACTGAGTTGTGGTTGAGAGGTCAATAGGAACCCCTCGTGGTAACCTGGTAAGAAACTTGGTCTTTCATTGTATGGAAGGTGACTTACTGAAAGGCTTAAAAGCCAAACATGACATGACCATATCCTGCATTATAGATTAATCGGTTGCTTTGATGACTGGGATGGACAGATGTGCCAGGGTAGAGATGGGAGGAAGGCAGGAAGGCAGAAGAGGTTGTTGTCTTAGTGCAGCAGAGACTTGAGGGCTATTGGAGTTTTGAGGGAGCTGATAATTAGCACTCTTCTTCCACAACTGAATTCTGAACCAATTGAGAAAAAAGGCAAACTGGTAAACAGACAGCGGTGATTTTTATTACTGACACAGGCTAAGTGGACGACGTAACTTCTATCTACAGACTGTAGTTAACTTCTTTGGAACTCCAGAATTATTCAGATTTACCCACCAAACCATAGGCATTATTGACCACCCCAGACTTCTTTACGTGGGGCATATACCTCCAAAACTTACAGGAAAAAGCAGAGCAGAACCCACACTCCCTCAGGCTATCAGTCTGCATGTGTCTGGGCATAGAGAATAAAGGGACAGAGAGAGGGCAGATGTGTTACACTAATTAATCTTTTACATAGAAGAAAACATCCAAGGTAGATAAGAAGCATTCTTCCCTTACATTTCCCTTCTTTTTGTTCTTTTCACCGACTGGACTTAACCATTAAAGCCATAGAGAAGAACACAGTTAATCACTCCCAAATCCAACTACTGTTGGGATCACTGAAAGCAGTTCAGATTTTGACCCAAAAGGCTCTGAACGGAGTCAGAATAACACATTAATTAAGGGAACTCCAAGGCTTCTGTAATTCTAAGTCTGAAAATTCACTCCATTTCCCACAGTATCCCCAACCACATGATCGGTGAAGGCTAATTTTAGGTGTCAAGTTAACTGGATTAAGGATATCTAGAAACCTGGTAAAGCATTATTTGGGTATGCCTATGAGGGTGTTTCCAGACTACTGTAGGGTGTGAGTCTGAGGGGACTAGGTGAGCTACACCTTCAATGTGGACCAGCATCCAGTTGACAGAGGGCCCAAAGAGAACAAAAACAGAGAAAAGGCAACATGCCTGTCTCCCTCCTAGAGCTGAGATATACTCTTCTTTCTCTGTCCTTGGACATCAGAACTCCTGATGTTCTGATCAAGTTGTCCTGAGGACAGAGAAGGAAGAGTCTATCCCAGCTCTCGGAGAGCTTTGGACTCCAGGGCTTACACTAGCAGCCCACTGGGTTCTCAGGCCTTAAGCCTCAGACTGAGGATTTTATCTTCAGCATCCCAAGTTCTGCCCTCTTTGGACTTGGACTGAACCACATCAAGATCTCCATAATTGCATGAACCAATTCCTCTAATAAATGCCCTCATTTATCTATATACATATACTATTGGTTGTCTCTGGAGAACAACTAACACATGGTCCAACGTGGCATGTTGGCACATTAACACCCAATAATAGAATGCCAAGAACAGAGATGCCCAGATCTATATATAATCCTCTCCTATTATCAAATTTACTAGAACTTAAATCTCTTTGCAAATCAAAGTTCAAAAACATTCAATTCCACTAGAATTAAAATCCAAAACTAAATACTCTTATTTTGTGTTAAGAGTAACCAGCCTGGGCAACATAGTGACACCTGGTCTCTACAAAATATTACAAAATGAGGTCAGACATGGTGGCTCACACCTGTAATCTCAGCACTTTGGGAAGCCAATCAATGGCAAAAGCCTCATCAGATAAGTTATTTACAAAATACAAATGAGATCAATATTAATGAAGAAAATTTTAGGCTAGGCCTGGTGGCTCATGCCTGTAATCCCAGCACTTTGGAAGGCCAAGGCAGGTGGATCACTAGAGGTCAGGATCAGCACTTCGGGAGGCCAAGACGGGTGGATCACTAGAGGTCAGGAGTTCAAGACCATCCTGGCCAACATGGTGAAACCCCGTCTCTATTAAAAATACAAAAATTAGCCCACCTATAATCACAGCTACTTGGGAGGCTGAGACAGAAGAACAGCTTGAACCTGGGAGGCAGAGGTCACGTTAAGCCAAGATAGCACCACTCCACTCTTCTCTCCAAAAACAAAAGAAAAGAAAATTTTAAACATGCCAGGTTTTGCTTGTAAAAAATGACAGAGGAGAGAAGGTAGAACACAGCTAATATTGGGAAGGATATAAATAGTACTACGAAAGACTTCTGGCAAAAATGTATATTGGCACAAACATTTTCTTGGCAACACAATCTATACCCTTTGATCTTATATTTTTGAGTTTACTCTAGAAAAATAAAAATATAAAAGATCTACTTAGACTACTGTGGCCAACAAGAATAGGCTAAATAATTTATAGTAAATCCATTTAATAAAATATTATGTGAACATTAATATTGAAATATTTGACACAAAGATATTCACCATTTAAATTCAAAAAATGACCTAGGTGGAGGGTATTAGCAGGATGAACAAGTAAAATAAAATGTGTACTGACAGTAGACTGAGAAAGTCTATAAAGATATACAGCAAAGCATGATCAATTTTCTCCTTTTTGCTTACATAGAATTCTACAATGTGCATATATTACCTGTTTGTTTTTAATAGGAGTTCTTGTCTTTGACTTAATGTATACAGTTCAATCATCTTATTAACAGTTATTTGATTTGATCTGAGCCCTAGAGTTCATGGCTGTTTTTAGTATCTTTTACCTTAAAGGTCTGTCTCCACTAATTTCCTGGCAATTCAGTAATAATTGCATTAAGGTAATAACTCTCTGAACCAATTTACAAGCAAATAGATAAAATTTCTATCTTTAGGGTAATTCCAATAGATAATTCCTGCATTTCTACAATGTGCATATATTACCTGTATATTGTTTGCTTGTTTGTTTTTGAGACAGAGTCTCGTTCTGTCACCAGGCACTAGGCTGGAGTGCAGTGGCACAATTTCAGCTCACTGCAACCTCTGCCTCCCGGGTTCAAACAATTCTCCTGCCTCAGCCTCCCGAGTAGCTGGGACCACAGGCACACGCCACCACGTCCAGCTAATTTTTGTATTTTTAGTAGAAACAGGGTTTCACCATGTTGGCCAGGATGGTCTCGATCTCTTGACCTCGTGATCTGCCCACCTCGGCCTCCCACAGTGCTGGGATTACAGGCTTGAGCCACCGTGCCTGGCCTGCTCTGTTTGTTTTCAACAGGAGTTCATGGAATTTGAAATCAGTAAAAAATTCTCATTATATAACAACAGCATTTTAATTGAATTTTCTAAGTGATTGTTTCCAGTTGTTTAAATGCACCTGTTCAAATCAAAGTTCATCATTTTGTTTGGAACAACTTTTGTGTGACAATCAAATGGTAATGTAAATGAGAAAACAAATAGGCATATAATGACAGAAAAGTAAGTGGCAAAATAACTATAATTGCTATTCCACTGGCTACTGGAGGACAATAAATAAAATGACAGTTAACCAAAAACACTTTTATTTTCGTCTTCAAAGAAGAAACTCTTCTTTTTCCAGAATAATCATGATTAACTTACAAAAATGGGTACACATCTTCAAAGCACTTCCCTTTAACGGGAAACTTAGCTTTATGGGATTTAAACAGAAAGCAAAAAGAAATTCCATTTTCTTGTCATTATAAGACAAAACAGAATCTAGTGTAAGCCAAGGAAACTCATTCATACTTCAGGTCCTTCTCCTCCAGGAACCAGCTGCATAAAGAGGAAAGACAGTTTATTAATAACACTACCACCATGTCATCTAAAAACCCCTTGCTCTTCATTAAGCTACCTTTTTCTCTCCTGACTCCACATTCCCATTTTCTCGAGACTGTCAATATCTATTTACAATTCCCAACATCATCAATTAATACTTACTATCTCAACAGCAATTTCTGACAAAATAAATGATTAAAAGTTCCAAGCAAACTAACTTTAGGCCCAATGCCTCTTCAACAGCTCAGCTGTAAGGCCCTGACCACAGAGAACCCCTTTCCCATCTTAAATACCACTTGGCCATGATCATTTAGTCAAGGAAGCCGCATTAAGGTTAGTTCGTAATCACTGCCCCACAAAAATGGGCTCCCATCTAAATAAAACAGTTTCAATGTGTCTTACCATTGTTATATTATTTCCATTTAGCAAAATCTGATCTAATTTAGTAATCCTTCTTCCTTCTGGTGTAATTTCACTAAATGAATAGAAAAAATACAGTCAGGATAAACAGTGACAATCAAAACCAACATTTTATAAATACTTTCCCTCTCTAAAAAGGTTATTCTTGCAACTAAACTACTGTAAGTTGGGCAATTACATCAACAATTTTCAGATACAAAGGTTATCCACTAGGTAATGTACCCTTCATCAAAAGCAATAGAATGAACTCACTGACCTAAGACCCACATATATCAGACAGATCTTAATGAAAAGAAGTGAAAGCTTGCCAAGGAGATTAGATATGAAATGAAATGTCCTTTAGGTTTGTTTTGTTTTTTTAAAAGACAGGGTCTTACTCTGTTGGCCAGGCTCGGTACAGTGGTACGTACAATTATAGCTCACTGCAGCCTAGAGCTGCTAGGCTCAAGGGATTCTCAGCCTTCAGATCAGCTAGAACTACAGCTGCCCCTTACCATACCCAACTAATTTTTAAATTTTTTTGTAGAGACAGGGGTCTCCTTTTGTTGGCCAAACTAGTCTCAAACTCCCAGGCTCAATCTTCCTGCTTTGGCCTTCCAAAGCGCTGGGATTACAGGAGTGAGCTACCATGTTCAGCCAGTTCCTTGATTTGACTTGAACCCTAAGATTCCTGGCTTTTTGTTAACTTCTACCTTAAAACTGTGTCTCCACTAATTTTCTAGGAGTTTAGTAATGACTAAGGTAATTATCCTCTGATTCAATTTTACAAATAAACAGACAAAATGTCTATCTTTCTTTAAGGTTATTCCAACAGGTAATTTTTTCTCATAATTTTACTTAGCAGTAGTAAAACTGTCTTTAATTAGAAGAGAATTCTTTGTCTTTCCCCCCAATTCTTTAAGTTTTAATGTTACTCACAACTCAGTGACATCTTCCAGTACCATATCTGAAATTTGGTGTTAAGAAAACGCAGAATTTACCCTAGCTTCTGCCTTTGTTCAGCTTTGCTTTTGCTTTTGGTTTTTTGTTTGTTTGTTTGTTTGTTTGTTTGTTTTGAGACAAGTTCTAACTCTTGTAATCCAGGCTGGAGTGCAGTGGCACAATCACCCCTCAGTGCAGCCTCAACCTCTTGGGCTCAAAGGATCCTCCTGCCTCAGCATTCCAGAGTAGCTGAGCCCAGAGGTGCACGTCTAATTTTTGTAATTTTTGTGGAGACGGGGTTTCATCATGTTGCCCAGGCTGGTCTCAAACTCCTGGGCTCAAGCGATCCACCGACCTCGACCTCCCAAAGCACTGGGATTACAGGTGTGAGCCACTGGGCTCGCCTGTTCAGTTTTAATTATAATGTTTAACACAATGGCTCAAATTTAGAATGCTTGTTGTGGATAGAAACTTTACCTTCTTCCAATACATACCCCTAAAAACATTATCATAAGTTTCCTGAGAATGAACTGACTTTTATTATAATAATCACAAATACACTGATTGTCTATAGTCCTTATGTTATTAAATACTTAAGAAAAACCTATACCACCAAAACCTTTTAAAAGGATACTGACAAAGTCATCAAATCCTAGAAGGGTACCAACAATTTCCTTATCACTCTTCATAACAATGTGAATTCTTGATCCAATACATTTGTCCACAAGCTCTGAAAAAGGAAAAAATATTGTTTTACCATTCATTATTTCAACAAATATTTGAGAGGCTACTGGCACTCTTACTTGCATATAGTAAAAGAAAAACCAGGAAAAATATTCATTCAATAACTTTAGGTCTTATAATACAAATCTCAGGTCAAGCACAGCGTTTGGCACATAATGAGCACTCCAAGAGTCTGTGGCATGAAGGAATGAAAACTTTTCAATCATGGCCATGTCCACTAACTCAATCACTCTTCACCAGCTACAAAATATAAGAGAAGACAGGCAACAATTATATTCACTGGAAACTCTTTCCTGTCACTGCTTCCCTCCCTCAACTGTCTATCCTCTGCTCTGACACCAGCTTGAACATCCCGTTAGCCAGCCTAGCATTATGCAGCATGATGTCTATTTGTCCAGTATTCTCTCCTGCACTCTCTTGTGTGCTATCTGAAGGCAATGACTATGGTTTTAAGTTTATCGTTGAAAAATGCCCAGGAACGGTATCTAGTGTATAGATGCTCAGTAACTACTTGTTGAATGAATGAATAACAAACAGAGCCAGTTTGCAGATTCCTCATTTAAGGCTCATTCCGGACCAGGGTGCTAGGGTCATTAACCAATCAGATACATAAAGTAGTCTATCTAAACCGGGGATCATAACGCCAGGTTGAGAAGTGGGCCTGCTATCCATAACACTGCAAAGGCAGGTCACAACAAAGGAGGCCGACGACACGTTCATTAAATGTGGATCTTTTCCAGTGACGGTCTGGCTCGAGGAGTCAGAAGTCCTTGCCTGGAGGAGCCCGACCACGTTAAAGAGCAGGGCGGCCCGCTGCCGCGGAGACTTGCAGCAGAGAATCGAGCCGCCTTCGGTCCTGTACATTTCCCCACACTCCGCCAGGGCCTGCCTCGGAACAGCCCCTCGCCCCCAGTGCTGAGCTTCAGCTCCCTCTGCCTCCTCCCAAAAGGAGGGCGATTACCTAACGGCAGCAGCTGCGACGGGTTCGTAGTAGCATTAGCCGCCATGGCCACGCCGGAAGTGGTCTGCGTTCATAGACGGTGGGAGGACTTTGAAAAGCGCGCTTCCGCTTTTTCCGCAGCCCTAACAGACTCGACCAATCTGCGACCGAGTGTGCGATCCAGCAGGCCGCGTGGGTCGCGTTCTCTGGGTTTTTCTCCTCGGCAAGCGAGATCCGGGGAAATAGTTCCTGCCCACTGGACATTTTACCATCTCGGCCGATACCCACTCTACCCTCAAAGGTTTGGAGAGACGTTAAAGGTTTTGCTTTATGAATAAATTTTTCCTTTAACCTTTGAGTCGGCTTCCCCCGTAAGCCAGAATCTTTCTTCAAACCAGTATAAGTCAATTCATATTTCCTGCCATCAGTTATTACAATTTTGGTTAAAAGTACTCATTTTCTTAAAGAATCTATTGTTTCTTTTTAAAGTACAAGTGGATTGAAAAATCTGCAACTAGCATTTTTTTAAAAACTTTAGTGGGGATTTAAAATATGTTTTTTAAATTTTTTTACTACTTTAATTCATCGTTCTCATCTTTTTATATCTAGTAGTCTTATTTATTATAGGCTTTTAAATTGTTTCTTCAACAATTATCGTCTAACAGGCAACCACCAGATGTCACTCTAAATTACCTGTTAACATCACCACACTTGGAAAATCATGCTTTGCACTTCTGTTTTGAAAAGAATAAAAAGCAAATAAATAATCTGCCCTAGTCTGTTTTCTGTTTGTATCCTAGGAACTTACAGCTAAACAATCTAGGCCGGACTTGGTGGCTCCCGACTGTAATCCTAGCACTTTGGGAGGCCTAGGCAGGCAGATCACCTGAAGTCAGGAGTTTGAGACCCGCCTGGCCACATGGGTGAAACCTCATCTCTACTAGAAATACAAAAATTAGCTGGGTGTGGTGACATGCACCTGTAGTCCCAGCTACTCAGGAGGCTGAGGCAGGTTGCTAGAACCCCAGAGGCGAAGGTTGCAGTGAGCCCAGATCGCTCCACTGCACTACAGCCTGGGCAACAAGAGCAAAACTTGTTGGGGTGGGAAGGGAACCCTGAACAATAAACTTGAGCAGCCACAAAGAGCATCATTTGTTCATACAACAACTGGACATTAAGCACCCATCATTCCTTCATAGCCTGAGTTCCCCAAGGCTGAGAATTGTGGGAAGCAGTAGTTTATGTGATTACATTTCTTAGTTTTGAATTAAATGACTGGTTCAAATTCCATGGTCAGTTATTTGACACTGGGCAAATTATTTAAACTTTTTAGGTCTCAATTTACCCATTGGAAAAAATGGGGATAATAGTATCTATTCATAAAATTATTGTGAAGATTAACTGAGATAATCTATCAAAAGTGGTCAGTATAGGACCTGGCACATATTAAGCCCTTTTAAACGTGAGCTGTTACAACTTATCTTTGTTTCCTAATACTTTACATGATGGCTGGAGCCAAGTGAAGCTACATAGAGATGGTTTTGCTAGCTGGTTTTGCATTCATCTTATTTTTATAACCAGACATAAGCCACTTTAAGGAAGCAATTTCTTATTTGATACACTGTGCACACTACATTTCCAGGCACCTTGTAGGGTCTAATAAATATTCTTTCAATTGAGTCTCTTTATTTAATTCATACCCATTGTGGGTAACCCCCCGTATAGACACCGAGGAAGGAGACCTAAGCAGACCCCTGGCACAGTTAGGGCTTGAAGAATATCTCAGTTTATAGTGTTACTACTCAGCTATTTTCTTTTATATAATCCTTTATATAATCGTATATTAGTTTATAGAATTAGGGCTTAAAGAATTCTTTTATATAATCCTCTCTATATAATCATATAATAGTTGACAGTATGAGCCCCTAAAGAATATTTCCCTACATATATATAATTATATCTTAGTTCATAATCGGAGGAATGCCTAGAGTGGACACAGTACAGAGCATGAATTAAGAAATAAGCAGCTTATAATCGGAGGAATGCCTAGAGCAGACACAGTGCAGAGCATGATTTAAGGGAAAAACTGTTATACCAGGACAAGAAACCATGGCCCAGGCGGCAGCGTTCAGTATCATAAAGATACCCTCTGTATGGCAGACTTGGGGTGAGAGCCACTCCTCCTGATAAAGAAGTTGTAGGACCTTGCTCCAGTTCTGGTGGAAGGCTGCCCTCAGACCGGCAATCCACCTTGGTGACTGTGAACTTGAACAGCTCTTGCTACTGTGCTGCTGGAAAAGCATCTTCCCATAGAACCCATTGGAAGCTGCCAGCAGGTGGCGGCAACACTGACAGCTCTGTCACTACTCTGTGACTTAAAGCATCCCCCCCCATAAATCTTAGAAGTAGTTGGCCCATAGATAGAAGTGTTGCACACTGGACCCTCTTCACTGCGCATGACCCACCTTCAAGCCTCGGTGACCTAATGGGGGGACCCCTTGTTTTATTGCTCACGACCCTATCACTATCCTTAAAGATTATTTCACCCACTGTCCTGCCCCCTAACCTATACGCAATAAATACTCATGCTTCTGGACATTCCGGGCCTCTCCTAACTCCGCTCATAGGTGGTGTGGCCCCTCGAGCCCAGCTGAATTTTCCTTGTACTTCTGTATCCTATCTCTTTACATCTCCGATCCTGCGCCTCAGCACAGCATAAGGCACACCCCATGACCCTGCGGGCCATCAGCCCTACCCACAGCAACATTCTCTTTAATCTTCATAAGATTTTAAATATGAAGTAATGCCAAATTTGTTACACTTCTTCCTTCCTTCTTTTTCTTTCTCTCTTGCTTTGTTTCTCTCTTCCTTTTTTTCCAATCCTCGTTTGGTTGAAACCCCCTTCTTTTCCTGGTTTTCTTTTTCTATTCCTATTCCTATTTCATTTTCACTATATCATACTGACAGTGTGGACCACATTCAAGATATTGTTGTTACTTGATGGAGCTTTTAAAAATTAGAAAAATGTATTTTAAGAAAGTCAGAGCTTTAAGTTTTCTAAGAACAGAATGGACATTGGTAATTTTGAATGCCACTAATAAAGAATAATCTCTTTAGTATCTGAAAAAAAGGAACTATGGATAGTTCACTTACACAGTAGAATTAATGCGGATTTCAGGAAAGGAGTGGTATTTTTATTTTGTTATTTTCTCTGAGGCAAGACACAATAAGGAAGAACAGTCAATTCCAAATTCAGAGTTGCTATGAACTCGAAAATATGTTATATCTCTCTGTCTCAAGGATTGTTCTCCCTTTAAGTCTTCTTAAGTAGAAGACATAAAATAGAATTTATAATGTATCATAAAATACATGTAACCACCAAAGGCTCTTCAATGTATTATGTGTTCAAAAAGGTATTTCTGATTTTCTCCTGAGTTAAGTGAGAAATTTTATTATTTTCTCAATAGACATTTGTCCTTGTGGACAATATCATGTTAATGAATTTATTCTACATTAATACAACTAATTTAAAACATAATGTATCCATGGGAATCATTGTGTGGATTTAAAAAAAAAAGTCAATGTAAAATGTGCATGATGGCAGGCATGTGTAGCCCCTGACCCTGGGAGTTTGAGGCCAGCCTTGGCAGCATAGCAACAGCCCATCATATTTTAAACTTTATTTACTTACTAATTTAGAGGCAGAAACTTACTCTGTTGCCCAGGCAGGAGTGCACTGGTGTGCTCACTGCAACTTTAACCTCCTGGGCCCAAGCAATCCTCCTGTCTCAGCCTCCTGCGAAGCCAGGACCACAGGCACATACCACCAAGTCTGGCTATTTATTTTTATTATGTTTTGTAGAGATGATGTCTCATTACATTGCCCAGGTTGGTCTTGAATTCTTCGACTCAAGTGATCTACCCTCCTTGGTCTCTCAAAGTGTTGAAATTGCAAGTGTGAGCCAACACGCCCCACCTCAACTCTTAAGTGGCCCCCCGTCTGTATATTTAGAGATGAAAAAAATCCTGGAAATTCCCTTGTTCACTTTCTCTCTCAATTTTCCCAGTAAAACTTCTTTGTTTTTTCTTTTCTTTTCTTTCTTTTCTTTTCTTTTTTTTTTTTTGAAATGGAGTCTCACTCTGTCACCCAGGCTGGAGCGCAGTGGCAGAATCTTGGCTCACTGCAACCGCTGCCTCCCGGGTTCAAGCAATTCTCCTGCCTCAGCCTCCCTAGTAGCTGGGATTACAGGCACACACCACTATGCCCAGCTAATTTTTGTATTTTTAGTAGAGATAGGATTTCACCATGTTGCCCAGCCTGGTCTCCAACTCTTGGCCTCAAGTGATCTGCCCGCCTCAGCCTCCCAAAGTGCTGGGATTACAGGCATGAGCCACCACACCTGACCCTGTTTTTATATATATCTTTAAAAGGTGTTCAATTAGACAATAGTTTTAGTCATGCCAAAATATCAAGACAGGTTATATCAAGAAAATACTAATAGTTAACACACCACACAGTTGACATCTCAAAACGGTTAATATATTTTTAAAAACAGTTAATATATTCTGCATATAGGGAGCAGTATAGTTTAACAGTCTTCTGAGCCCCCAGAGTCTCTGCAGGCGCAGCCCGGGTCCTGTAAGCCCCAACCCGCCCCACCCGGTCAGGTCCCACCCGACTCTGCCCCGCCCGGTCGGTCGCTCTTCTCCTAGCCCCACCCCGCTGTCCCAGGCTCCACCTCGGCCCGTCAGGCCCCGCCCCGTCCCGCCCCGCCCCGCCTCCCCCGCTGGGCCGCCGCGTCAGGTGCCAGTCCGGAAGCTGCGAAAGCGGATGTGGGAACAGCGGCCGCAGCCCTGGGGGCGGCGGGAGCTGCTCAGCCTCCTCCGGGCTCCCCGCGCAGCCCTCATGTGCTGCCTTCGCTGACACCCGAAGTCCGTGGCTCTCCGCACACGGTGGGGTCGTCAGACCCGCCGCACGTGGCTGTCGAAGTCGTCGTGGGGGACCGCTGCAGCCGCCCATGGAGAAGACCGGGCGAGGCGGGGATGGCGCCCCCCGGGGACCGGTGCTGCACATCGTGGTGGTCGGCTTTCACCACAAGAAGGGCTGCCAGGTGAGGAAGGGACCCCCCGCCGGCAGTTCGGGCGTTCGCCCCTCTCGGCGCCCCCGGCCCTGCTTCTGTGTGCTCAGCTCGCGTGGTGCTGTCCTCCCGACGGCGCCGGCAGCCCTTCGCCTCACCCTGTCCCCTTGCAACCCCTCCCACCTGCCCCACCTGACGCCCAGCCCCCACAGCCCCTTCCCTCTGCCCCTGAAAAACGCTTATGAGCAGCGAAGGAGCTAGATGGTATGTGTAGGTTGCAGGTTTTTAGGTTGTAGGTTTTTAACTTCTGCTTTGCTGGAGTAGGAGGAAGGAATCCAAGACCGGCCCACTCTCTTCCCCGTCCATCGTCTCCACTGGCTTTCTGGGTGTCCATATAGCCTGTATATTCCCATGTATTCTGTATGGGAGTCTAGAAAAAATTCAGTGCTTGGACTCTGCTTTCAAGGTGTTAGCTCAGTGGGCTTGCAGACTAATGCCTCAGGTAGCTTGAAGCACGTGCAGGCTCCGTAGGGAAGTCGGCTTCCTTTGTTTATCTGATGGAAGCCTGGGAATCGGTGGTGTCAGCTACGGTTGTCGACTGACCTTCCTTCCACCTTCCCATTGGGCCTCAGTTTTGCTATTTCATCTTCTCCAGATTTTGCTTTTTGGTGAGAGATTAGTCTCTCCAGATCAATTGCAGTAGGAGAAAGCCTATTACCGACCAAACTGTTCAAATATAAAGGCGTTTTTCAGCAGCCTCACCGAATCTTTAATCCAGCATCTGAAATGGAATATTTGCAATTTATGTATTGAAGGCAAGAGAACAAAATAGAAACAGGATTATTTAATGAGCAAGCAAACACTGGAAGGGAATGATGTCATAATGTGCTAGTGAACAGTTAATTGAAATGCTTTTTTTAGTATTAAAAATAAATAATTGCCACCACTAGCTAATGAAGCATTTAGTTTCTTGTATTCCACAGGAAATGTAACATTTTAGAAGACTTATTGGCAAAAATTAAGTTCTCTAGGGAATAACAGAAAAGTAATGGGAGTGAAAAAATTGTGTTTCTGTTTTAAATAGCGTAATTTCGAAATATATCCTCACACCTGTAACGCCATCACTTTTAGAGACTGACGTGAAAGGATCACTTGAGCCCAGGAGTTGCAGACCAGCCTGGGTAACAAAGGGAAACCCTGTCTCCACAAAAAAAAAATTTAAAAATTAGCTGCATGTGATAGCGCGCTTGTAGTCCCAGTCACTCGGGAGGCTAAGGTGGGAAGATCGCCTGAGCCCTGAAGGCTGCGGCTGCAGTGACCTTTGATCCCACCGTTGCACTCCAACCTGGATGAGAGAGCAAGACCCTGTCTCAAAAGAAAGAATATTGGCGCCGGGCGTGGTGTCTCACACCTGTAATCCCAGGTGCTTGGGGGGCTGAAGCACGAGAATCACTTGAACCCAGGTGGCAAAGGTTGCAGTGAGCTGAGATCGCACCATTGCACTCCTGCCTGGGCAACAGGCTTTTTCGAGACAGAGCGAAACTCCGTCTCGAAAAAAAGGAGTTTTGGAAAGTGTGTGTTATTTGCGTTAAGTCTTAGAATGACTGGTCTATAGTCTGTTCTTTACAGCCTGTACATCAGGTGTTTTCAGAGGCTCTAATTAAAGTAAGATTTGCCCCAGGATAAATTAATCAGCTACCTCATTCTCCACTTTGCTATTTTACTTCCAGGTCTAAAGGATTAAAGGTGTGAGGCTCATTGGGTTGTGAGTCTGACTTCGCATGGCTTTTACTTGTGTGAGGGTACTTAGACTGCTCTTCCAAGTACTAAAAATTGTGGGTCATGTTACCATCAGTTTTTTCTGTGCACTGAGATTGCGCATAGGGAAAATTCCTATACTTGATTGTAATTTGTAACTTTTAAATACAAGTGACCAAAGTAAAAAAAACCTTTGTTTTAAAAGTAATGCCTTTCAGCAGTCTGCTTGATTAACCATAACTTTGTCATTTGATATGGACCTCATAAGTGAAAGCCATCTTCTAATACTGCTGTGTTGAAGACTAGGTTTGTGGAAAATGTTAGTTCATCTTATTTCTTGTTTCCTGCACTTTTTCTACATTTGAAGTCCTCAAATGTATTTCGCATGAAAAATAACTTCATTTAAATTTAAATGGACATTTATTAATTTTATCAGTTGATCTTTTTTTCACTTTTATTTGGGTAAATTGTGGAATTGAATTTCTTCTGTAGATAATGTGTTAGCTTCTAGAGGTGATTTTTCTAGTTTACTGATATACTTAACATTTAGAATATTTTAAGTGATTTTTGAGTTCTACCATGACATTTAAAGTCATTTCAAAATATTTTCTCGTTTCAACTTTTTACTGAATTATTTAAAATTTAATATTTAACAAGGGATAATTTAACATTTAATAAGGGATAATAATAAGTATGGCTGGGCATGGTAACTCACCCCTGTAATCCCAGCGTTTTGGGAGGCTCAAGTGAGGCAGATCACTTAGGAATTCAAGACCAGCCCGGGCAATATGGCAGAACCCCGTCTCTACTAAAAATATAAAATATTAGTTGGACACGGTGGTGCATGCCTGTAATCCCAGCTCTCAGGAGGCTGAGGCAGAAGAATTGCTTGAACCTGGGAGGCGCAGGTTGCAGTGAGCCGAGATCTTCCCACTGCACTCCAGCCTGGGCAACAGTGAGACCATGTCTCAAACAAAACAAACAAAAACTTATCTGACATTAGACCTTTTGGTGTGAAATAATTTATGGACACCTTCTCTGTAGTAAATTGGCTTGTTATAGATTGTGTATTCCAGAGTTTTGTTTGTTCCAATATGTAAACTATATTTGTTGGACTTAGCAGGGCTGCAACGCTGACAACTGACAACCATAATTTTTTGCTAAGTAACATCAAATGTATATCCCATTAACTCTTTGGTTTTCTCATAAATAGGTTAGAACTTTTTCAGCTACTCAGGTTAACAGGGAATAGGTTATTTTCCAAAGTAGTATCATAAAAAGTTGGAATAATTACTTGATTTTTGACCACTTTTCTGATAGTTTGTTTTGTATACACAGCTAGCAGTTTTAAGTCTTCAATAAACTGGATTTACTAGACTATTTCTAATACAAAAAAAGCAGAATTACAATTTTTTTTTTTTAATCATACTTTAAGTTCTGCGATACATGTACAGAACATTCAGGTTTGTTGCATAGATATACATGTGCCATGGTGATTTGCTGCATCCATCAATCTATCATCTAGGTTTTAAGCCCCGCATGCATTAGATATTTGTCCTAATACTCTCCCTCCCCTTGCCCCCACCCCCCCACATAGGGCCCAATGTGTGTTGCTCCCCTTCCTGTGTTCATGTGTTCTCATTGTTCACCTCCCTCTTATGAGTGAGAACATGCGATGTTTCATTTTCTGTTTCTGTGTTAGTGGTAGCGGAATGTTGCCTTGCAAATTTTGGGATGGGTTGCTTTTAGGGGTTTTGTTTATGTTGGGGTGATACAGCTATACTTAAGCCCTGAGTGATTCAGGTTTTGATGACAGATGACTTACTGACAAGCCTGTTTTGGCACCTGCTACTAATGGAATCCTGTGTTGACAATAATGAAACATTTCGGAAGATTTGTTTGATTCTTGTCAGAATAAGTAGTTCTTTCGAACCAGAAAGAAAAAAACTGGAGGGTTAGCAGTTAGGGAAGAATAACCTTCTAAGATTCTTTTTAGCTACTAGTTTTACAGAAACTTTGTTCTGAAACAAGATTGCATTTTCTGGCCTTTTACAGCACTTTTATTTCTTCAATATTTTGGTAGACGTTTTTTCCTGATTTTGGCCATGCTTTTTGTATATGCTGAATTTATGAAAATCTCTGACTTAGCAGGGCTTCAGCATTGACAGAACAGTGGAATAGTTGTCGTTCAGGCTTTGACGTTTTGCCTAAGTGTAGTGGGTGTCAACTTGTGTACTAAAACTTAGAAATACCAGGAAGATTCCTTCCTCCTCTTATGGGTCCTCCCAGATAGCAAGAATGTGCCTAATTTCTTTCTTTGGCTTAAACCTTTGATCCCTAGTAAAATACACTGTGAGTAATCATCTCCTTCATGTCACTGATATGATTCAGATCCTTTGCTGAATGTAGATTTTTGCTAAAAGGAAAGACTGCAAAAGGGCCCTAATCTACTAGAGATGAACAAGAGGAAGATGCAGACGTATAGGAAGAAGAGTCTACTTAACCTACTTAAAGACTGCTCCTATTTTATATGGATTAAGAACTCAGGTTCTTGCTAAGATATTTTTAGAAGATGTTTTCTAAGTTGATATTTTTGGCAGTTTTTAAATGATATTTCAGTATTTTTGAAAATAACATTTATGATGATAATAATACATACTGGCCAGGCATACTGGCTCATGCCTATAATCCCAGCACTTTGGGAGGCCAAGGTGGGGCAATCGCTTGAGCCCAAAAGTTTGAGACCAGTCTGGGCAACGTAGGGAGACCTAATCTTTAAAAAAAAAAAAAAAAAAGCCAGGTATGGTGGTGCCTGCCTGTAGTCCCAGCTGCTTGGGAGGCTGAAGCAGGAGTATCCCCCAACCCCAGGAGTTCAAAGCTGCAGTGAGCCGAGCTCTTATCACTGCACTTCAGTCTAGGTGACAGAGTAAGACCCTGTCTCAAAAAAAAAAAGAAAGAAAGAAAAAAGGTATATCAAACTGTAATCAAGTTTCATGGCCTACCTTTTTCATGTAAAATATACCATTAGTATTTTTCTATATTAGTAAATAATTGAATTATGTTTTAAAATTGCTTATTAGTATTTTGTAGAAATACTGTTGTTTATTTAACTGATGTCCTTTTTAGATACTTAGGTGACATTCTGATTTTTCACTATTTTGAATAGCACTGCAAAGAACATCCTTGTGGCTTTTTGCACCTTTCTCATAAGTATAAAATAGACTTCATTGTAGCCATTTTTTTGTGACGATTTTATTAAAATGGATTTTGAAACT